TCTTTGAAGCTAATCTTGTTTAGTCTGAAATCCTAACTGGTTTCTTTGATTGAATGTTTAGTTTGTGGGAACTGTAGAATTGTTATTTTTTACCTTTTGCTGTGGAATAAGTGTGGTCCTTCATATTATGAATTTAATCACTTTTTGACTGCACCCTTTTTGATTTGAATGAAACCTTCCATACATGTTTGCCCATGGTAGAAGTGGTCAGAAAGTGCTCAAAGATTGCCCATTTTGCATACCCCAACCTACCATGACACATCCCCACCCTACCATGACACATGTCTGTGGAATGTGTACACATGTACTTGTGAGAGAGGGAGAGAAAGAGGGAGATGTGGGGTATCTTTTGACCAATGGGTAAAATATGTTAATTGTGTAGACAATCCTATAAGAAAACAAACCAATGGTCCAAACTTCATGTCTCTATCATAATCCGTTCAAAGGTTATTGGTGTTTTTACCCTTGTATATTGGCCAGAATTAGGGTGACTAAATCAATGGAGGCCAGAGAAAAAAGTTGGCAAAAATCTGGAAAATTGCATTGTATTAGCTAGGCTGGAGTCTGTGCATGAATGAAGGCTACTGGCTACCTGGCAGGCTCACTTTCCCATTGAACTCGTCATCTTTCTTCTCCAATCAGCAGGACATAAAACAATATAGAGGTAAGATGGATATCGATTTTGAGTCATGACATTAAGTATTTTCAAAATATTTTATTATAGGGGGGGAATTCAAAATATATGTACATATTGGTCCAGGATATATTTATGAAATATGTAACTTGAGCACATCATAGAATATGTATGTAAATATATTTTTAAAATATATGTGAATGAAAAAAAAGTCATGCTGAATTGTAATGTTGAGTCTATTGACCTCTGGTACCTTGGCATTAGGTTTCCAAAGTGGGGTTTGCGGAAGGGTACCAAAAAATGTCTGCAGCCTTAAATGTCCCCAAGAACACAGTGAGTAGCAATGTTTTCTTGATAACATGAGCAAGGAAATGGTGATTCGATAGTATTTCGGTCTCTATGTTGCTGGTAATTTGCTAATGCAGCGCAATCTGTATCGATAGTAGCTATCACTGTGTGTCGCGAAGCTGCAAGGCAATATCAGTGATACATTTTACGGTGTCATCTCAGTCACGTTACTTAGTGATTTGCGCCGGCTGTCACCACACTTTGTTACATGACTTCTGATCATTATCTTGGAACCCTATTCCCTTACACAGTTAAACTAGAAACGCATTTACAGTGGGGAAAAAAAGTATTTAGTCAGCCACCAATTGTGCAAGTTCTCCCACTTAAAAAGATGAGAGAGGCCTGTAATTTTCATCATAGGTACACGTCAACTATGACAGACAAATTGAGAATTTTTTTTCCAGAAAATCACATTGTAGGATTTTTTATGAATTTATTTGCAAATTATGGTGGAAAATAAGTATTTGGTCACCTACAAACAAGCAAGATTTCTGGCTCTCACAGACCTGTAACTTCTTCTTTAAGAGGCTCCTCTGTCCTCCACTTGTTACCTGTATTAATGGCACCTGTTTGAACTTGTTATCAGTATAAAATACACCTGTTCACAACCTCAAACAGTCACACTCCAAACTCCACTATGGCGAAGACCAAAGAGCTGTCAAAGGACACCAGAAACAAAATTGTAGACCTGCACCAGGCTGGGAAGACTGAATCTGCAATAGGTAAGCAGCTTGGTTTGAAGAAATCAACTGTGGGAGCAATTATTAGGAAATGGAAGACATACAAGACCACTGATAATCTCCCTTGATCTGGGGCTCCACGTAAGATCTCACCCCGTGGGGTCAAAATGATCACAAGAACGGTGAGCAAAAATCCCAGAACCACACGGGGGGACCTAGTGAATGACCTGCAGAGAGCTGGGACCAAAGTAACAAAGCCTACCATCAGTAACACACTACACCGCCAGGGACTCAAATCCTGCAGTGCAAGACGTGTCCCCCTGCTTAAGCCAGTACATGTCCAGGCCCGTCTGAAGTTTGCTAGAGTGCATTTGGATGATCCAGAAGAGGATTGGGATAATGTCATATGAAACCAAAATATAACTTTTTGGTAAAAACTCAACTCGTCGTGTTTGGAGGACAAAGAATGCTGAGTTGCATCCAAAGAACACCATACCTACTGTGAAGCATGGGGGTGGAAACATCATGCTTTGGGGCTGTTTTTCTGCAAAGGGACCAGGACGACTGATCCGTGTAAAGGAAAGAATGAATGGGGCCATGTATCGTGAGATTTTGAGTGAAAACCTCCTTCCGTCAGCAAGGGCATTGAAGATGAAACGTGGCTGGGTCTTTCAGCATGACAATGATCCCAAACACACCGCCCGGGCAACGAAGGAGTGGCTTCGTACGAAGCATTTCAAGGTCCTGGAGTGGCCTAGCCAGTCTCCAGATCTCAACCCCATAGAAAATATTTGGAGGGAGTTGAAAGTCTGTGTTGCCCAGCGACAGCCCCAAAACATCACTGCTCTAGAGGAGATCTGCATGGAGGAATGGGCCAAAATACCAGCAACAGTGTGTGACAACCTTGTGAAGACTTACAGAAAACGTTTGACCTGTGTCATTGCCAACAAAGGGTATATAACAAAGTATTGAGAAACTTTTGTTATTGACCAAATACTTATTTTCCACCATAATTTGCAAATAAATTCATAAAAAATCCTACAATGTGATTTTCTGGATTTTTTTCCCTCATTTTGTCTGTCATAGTTGACGTGTACCTGTGATGAAAATTACAGGCCTCTCTCATCTTTTTAAGTGGGAGAACTTGCACAATTGGTGGCTGACTAAATACTTTTTTTCCCCACTGTAAGTAACGTGAAGACTGGTCGGAATTAGTGTGTTGTATAGCTAATCTGCAAGAGTAGGTTTAGGCTGATTTATTAGCCATGTTCTGTCATGCATTTTACGTAGGTAGTCCCTGTCGGTCAATATTTGCATTCTAGTAGTATTATTCTAGTGACAGCATATTCTTATTCTATCATATGCTATTGTGTTGTATGCTATTGTAGTGATCACTAAATTCTAGTCATGTATTAGCTCCTGTTATTCATTAATCTTCTGCTTGCATTATCTTCATGTCTTACATACTTTAAAAAAAATAGTTACTTTTAAAAATGTATTACATTCAGTCATCCAGCAGACACTCCCACCCAGTCGAATTGGGGAACCGAACCAGCGACCTCCCGGCCACCGGCCCAAGCTCCCAACCGCCAGGCCACCAACCATCCAAGATCCACCCCCACAGTTCCCCTCAAGTGCTGCCCCTCAACAATCCAAGACCCACTGACAGTTCCCACTGTAAACCTTGTACAGGCTTCCTTTTCAGTTTGTTACTTACTTTAGTATTGTGGAATAACTACAATGTTGTTGATCCATCCTCAGTTTTCTCCTATCACAGCCATTAAACTCTAACTGTTTTAAAGTCACCATTGTCCTCATGGCTCTCCGGTAACTGAGTTAGGTAGGACGCCTGTATCTTTGTAGTGACTGGGTGTATTGATACACCATCCAAAGTGTAATTAATAACTTCACCATGCTCAAAGGGAAATTCAATGTCTGCTTTTTTTAAAACCCATCTACCACTAGGTGCCCTTCTTTGCAAGGCATTAGAAAACCTCCCCAGGTCTTTGTGGTTGAATCTGTGTTAAACTACAATCTGTAGCCATGAAGGGCTTTGAAAGGCTGGTCATGGCTCACATCAACACCATTGTCCCAGACACCTTGGACACACTCCAATTTTCATAACGCCCCAACAGATCCACAGATAATGCAATCTCTATTGCAATCCACACTGCCCTTGCCCACCTGGACAAGAGGAACACCTATGTGAGAATGCTGTTCATTGACTACAGCTCAGTGTTCAACACCATAGTGCCCTCCAAGCTCATCACTAAGCTAAGGACACTGGGACTGAACACCTCCCTCTGCAACTGGATCCTGGACTTCCTGACGGGCTGCCCCCAGGTGGTGAGGGTAGGCAACAATACATCCGCCACGCTGACCCTCAACACCGGGGCCCCTCAGGGGTGCATGCTTAGTCCCCTCCTGTTCAACAACTGTGTAGCCGTGAACGACTCCAACACCATCAAGTTTTCAGACGACGCGATGGTGGTAAGCATGATCACAGATGACAATGAGACAATGTGTTTGTACGGTATATCATAAGTGACAGTCAAAGCTGTATTGACAAGGTCTGTAAGGTAGGCTATTGTCTTTCCCTTCCTTCTGGAACCATTATTTCAGATAATCTGATGTTGGCTGGGCTCCCCGCTTGTGCCCTCAAACCCTTGCAACTTATCCAGAATGCTGCAGCCCACATGGTTTTCAACCTTCCCAAGTTCTCCCATTTCACCCCGCCCCTCCGCACACTCCAATAGCTTCCAGTCGAAGCTCACATCCACTACAAGACCATGGTGCATGCCTATAGAGCAGCAAGAGGAACTGCCCCTCCCTACCTTCAGGCTATGCTCAAACCCTATACCCGAACCTCTAGATAAGATCTTAAGTTAATTGATTGTCAAGTACTGTTGGGATGTTTTCAGTGCTTGCAAAACATACAGTATGTTAGATTTTCAAGTAGGCCTAAAGACGTCAGTATTTTATCTTTTTTTAAGAGCACTCTTCAGTACTTTTCAGATATTTTATTGAAGAGATAGGACAGAGTAACATAACGATAGTGAGGTGAAAGTTTGACAACGTAGCGATGGGTCTGGAATTTGAACCCACATGGTCATGAGCACATATAGTACATTTATGTGTTGAAGGTGGTGCTGTTGACCACTAGACCACCTCAGACGTGTTTGAAGTGGATATGTTCAGAAACAGACATGTAGATTACCCATGTGTACAAGACAGACTCTGAAGGAGGAAGTAGGGGTAGAGAACTAGGGGTGATCAAAATCGTTTCCTAACTACAATATCTTGTCTTGACAGCCAAGAAGCCAAAGAACTGCTACACAATGGAGGATTCTGAAACCATTTATGGTTTTGATTATGAATATGGGCATTACAGCAATTACACCTATGACAATGTTACTCCTCATGAGGAGAAGGTAGCTTTCAAAACCCACAAGTCATGCTTCACGGAGGTTTCATGCGTCTCCCTCATGGTGGTCAATGTGGTTATATTCTTGCTAGGGGTTTGTGGGAATGGGGTGGTCATCTGGATCGCTGGTCTCAAGATGAAAAAGATGGTCAACACCACCTGGTACCTCAGCCTGGCAGTCTCCGACGTCATATTCTTTGCCTGTCTACACTTCAACATTTACACGGTAACAAAGGAGTGGATCTTTGGGCTCTTCATGTGCAAGTTCACCTCTTTTGATATTCCTGAACATGTTCAGCAGCATCATCCTCCTGGTCGTCGTCAGTGTTGACCGCTGTGTGTCAATTATGTTTCCAGTGTGGGCTTAGGACCACTGCACCATTTTCAAGGCCTTTGTATTGGTGGTCCTGGCCTGGGTTGCCTATGTCGCACTCAGCATCCCCTCCTTGGTGTTCAGCGACGCCAAGACTCATGTAGGGAAGAGCATGTGTTTCAATAACTACACCGACCAACATAGCCACAAGACGATCGCAGGGGGTTCATCAGGGGGTTTATGCTCCCATTCCTCATCATCTTCTGTTACTGTCATCATCCTGCAACTGAGAACCAACCGTATGATGAGCAAGCCCTTCGAAGTTGACTGCCCTGATAGCCTGATAGCCACGTTCTTCATCTGCTGGCTGCCCTACCATGTCTTTGTTTTGCTTGAGTTGATCCACCAAAGCTACGACCTGGAGGTTATAAGAGCTGGACTGATGGTGGGTAACACTGTAGCCACAGCTAACAATTTCCTCAACCCAATACTGTATGTTTTCATCCATCTTAGACAGCTCCATAGTGTCTAAGATGGAGAATGCCATGGGAGAGGAGGGCTGCACCACCAGCCACTACCTCTCCAGGTCCAGCTCCATGGAGAGCAGCCGCAGGGACTCCACACATATCTAAATGTCTGAGGATGGTAAGGCCTCAGTGGCGGCAGAGACTAAGAACACAATTTTGTTCAGCAATGCTTTGCCTTGTTGAAAAGTCATGTAAGGTGTATTTTCACTTGAGGGTCTAAGAGACTAATGATAATTGTCATGCATTTGTACAATCACAAGTCGTGTTCTTTGTCTCTTGTTAACATTCTGTCCAACCAGTTTGATTTGTTTCTCTCATGAGCAAACTGAGTATTGTGATGAGTACTGAGGATATGAAGAGGCAGGACGCAGACGCAGGAATCAACAATGTAAAGGTTTACTTAACACTGAGCAAGAGAAAAACAAAGAGCGAGTACACGACAAGACACTGACAATCACACACAACACAACACTGAACAGTCCAGGGCTATATAGGGGTGGTGATGAGCTGAGGTGCAGGTGCGCTGGAGGTGATTAGGGCATTGGGTTTCCATTCCGGTGTTGCTGATGTGGTGCGCTCAGACCGGTGGCTCAGTAGACCGGCGAATCAGAGTGCCGGAGGGGAGCAACAGGAGGAGACGTGACAAGTATGGTCTTGTGAAGATATTGGTCACACTTTATTTGGATAATCCAGATAACCTTAATGTTTCTTATACAAATAAGTAATGCAGTCAGTCTCTCCTCAACTCTTAGCCAAGAGAGACTGGCATACATAGTATTCATATTAGCCCTCTGGTTACAATGATGAGCATGACGTGCCGCTCTGTTCTGGGCCAGCTGCAGCTTAACTAGGTCTTTCCTTGCAGCAGTCGACCATACGACTGGACAATAATCAAGATGAGACAAAACTAGAGCCTGCAGGACCTGAAACATACAGATGTAGGATCTTAATTTGTGCCAGTTTTCTGCAGCAGCAACAGGAAATGTGAATTATAATTTGGGTTATACATTTTTGTAGGGGTTGATAAATGTAAATGTGGAAATTTAAAACCCCAGACTTTTTAAACCTCAAATACACTACGTTTTACATTTCCTGCATTTTGTCTGAATTGTATCTTTAATTTTGCCTTAGATATTGCAGACATCTATACACAACATATCGTCCAGCCCTATCCCAAAAACATAATTTGACTTCAGGGTCCAAAAGGGTAATGAATTGTGTAAAAATACAAGCATTTTTCTGTTCAATCTACCTGTTTGATTTGTTTTTCTATAAATACAATGAGTATACAATCTTGTATTGTAGATATTGTAACATGTTTCTGGTTATTTTTGTAAATAGTCATGGGAAACTGAAAAAGAAGCTGCTTGCTTTTAATGAACTGAGAAGCAGCACCAGGCTGTTTGTGTTGTGTGTGGTGAGTGCATTTTTCTGATTAAATCCAATGTTTTGACGAATAGATAATTAACTGGTATACAGTGCATTCGGAAAGTATTCAGACCCTTTGACTTTTTCTACATTTTGTTACATTACAGCCTTATTCTAAAATTGATTAAATTATTATTTTTTGCTAATTTATTAAAAATAAAAAACATACCTTATTTACATAAGTATTCAGACCCTTTGCTACGAGACTCGAAATTTAGTTCAGTTGCATCCTGTTTCCATGGATCATCCTTGAGATGTTTCTACAACTTGATTGGAGTCCACCTGTGGTACATTCAATTGATTGGACATGATTTGGAAAGGCACACACCTGTCTATATGAGGTCCCACAGTTGACAGTGCATGTCAGAGCAAAAACCAAGCCATGAGGTTGAAGGAATTGTAAGTAGAGCGCTGAGACAGGATTGAGTCGAGGCACAAATCTGGGGAAGAGTATCAAAAAATGTCTGCAGCATTGAAGGTCCCCAAGAACACATTGGCCTCTATCATTGTTAAATGGAAGACTCTTCCTAGAGCTGGCCGCCCGGCCAAACTGAGCAATCGGGGGAGGAAGGCCTTGGTCAGGGAGATGGCAAGAACCTGATGGTCACTGATAGAGCTCCAGAGTTTCCAGAAGGAAAACCATCTCTGCAGCACTCCACCAATCAGGCCTTTATGGTAGAGTGGCCAGACCGAAGCCATTTCTCGGTAAAAGGCACATGACAGCCTATTTGGAGTTTGCCAAAAGGCACCTAAAGACTCTCAGACCATGAGAAACAAGATTCTCTGGTCTGATGAAACCAAGATTGAACTCTCTTTGGCCTGAATGTCAAGCGCCACGTCTGGAGGAGACCTGGCACCATCATGCTGTGGGGATGTTTTTCAGCGGCAGGGACTGGGAGACTAGTCAGGATGGGAAAGATGAACGGAGCGCTCAGGACCTCAGACAGACTTCACCTTACAACAGGACAATGACCCTAAGCACACAGCCAAGACAACGCAGGAGTGGCTTTGGGACAAGTCTCTGAATGTACTTGAGTGGCCCAGCCAGAGCCTGGACTTGAACCCGATCAAACATCTCTGGAGAGACCTGAAAATAGCTGTGCAGCAGCGCTTCCCATCCAACCTGACAGAGCTTGAGAGGATCTGCAGGGAAGAATAGGAGAAACTCCCCAAATACAGTTGTGCCAAGCTTGTAGCGTCATACCCAAGAAGATTCGAGGCTGTAATCGCTGACAAAGGTGCTTCAACAAAGTACTGAGTAAAAGGTCTGAATATTTTTTTTTTTTTTTTTTGGTGCAAACATTTGTAAACTTGTTTTTGCTTTGTCATTATGGGGTATTGTGTGTAGATTGATGGTGGAGGGGGGGGGGGGCATTTTAATCCATTTTAGAATAAGACTAACGTAACAATGTGGTAAAAGTCAAGGGGTCTGAATACTTTCCGAATGCACTGTACACTAAATAGGCTTTATTTTGTTCAATAGTCATTCCATACTGTCTTTTTCATGCAAATTGCTGTATATCAAATTAAAAGTCATACCTGCAGTTGTGACCAACACAAATTGTTGTGTCAAATAATCATTCTACTTATGCCATGAATCTAGGGTGAACAGTTTATTGGAAAAGTGCGTGTTAAACATGAGTTTATCAAGAGTTACAAAACAACGAACCTGCAGTCTCTGATGTCCAAAGTCTCCAATTTAATGTTATGTACTGTGTGCTGTGCCTGAACAGTACCATATTAAGGTGTAGTCTACTGTCGATTTAGTATAATTCAAAGTTAAGGTAAATTATATTTTCTCTTAAGTCAAATTTCCCAATTGCATGTACATTTTAGTTCCTGAATTTAAAAAAATTTAAAAGGAAATTACTCAATAATTGTTCACAGTTTCGTCATGTAACCACAACCACAGATGGCACAACAAGTGCTTTACCAAATACCCATCCCAAAACAGCCACCTAACTGTAGCTGTCAGTCGATTTGTCAGTGGCTTTGTGCTCCCGCTCCTCATCATCTTCTGCTACTCTGTCATCATCCTGGGACTGAGGACCAACAGGATGACCAGGTCCTCCAAGGCCTTCAGAGTCATGACTGCACTGATAGCCACGTTCTTCATCAGCTGGCTGCCCTGCCATGTCTTCATCAATCTGGAGCCAGATATTAAAATTATCTAACCATTATTCATGAAGGGCTAAAGATATCTGCGACTCTTGCTAGTGCAAACAGTTGCCTGAACCCATTTCTGTATGCATTAGTGAGCAAAGATTTCAAGCAGAAATGCTGGAGCTCTTTAGTCTCTAAAATAGAAAATGCCTACAAATGTCAGATTGCCTTTCAACAAATACTGTAATTACAGGGCAAGTGTATGCTCCTTAAGGACATGTCCATATTGCCAATCCAATGACAAGGATCGTGACAAGAATTAATAGAATGTTCGTTCTATGTTATCTACAGTACCAGTCAAAAGTTTGGAGTCACCTACTCATTCAAGGGTTTTTCTTAATTTTTTTTACAATTTTTTACATTGTAGAATAATAGTGAAGACATCAAAACTATTAAATAATACATATGGAATCATGTAGTAACCAAAAAAGTGTTAAACAAATCAAAATATATTTTATATTTGAGATTCTTCAAATACCCACCCTTTGCCTTGATGACAGCTTTGCATTCTCTCAACCAGCTTCACCTGGAATGCTTTCCCAACAGTCTTGAAGGAGTTCCCACATATGCTGAGCACTTGTTGCCTGCTTTTCCTTCACTCTGCCGTCCGACTCATCCCAAACCATCTCAATTGGGTTGAGGTCGGGGGATTGTGGAGGCCAGGTCATCTGATGCAGCACTCCATCACTCTCCTTCTTGGACAAATAGCCCTTACACAGCCTGGAAGTGTGTTGGGTCATTGTCCTGTTGAAAAACAAATGATAGTCCCACTAAGCCCAAACCAGATGGGATGGCGTATCGCTGCAGAATGCTGTGGTAGCCATGCTGGTTAAGTGTGCCTTGAATTTGTGACCAGCAAAGCACCCTCACACCATAACACCTCCTCCTCCATTCTTTACAGTGGGAACTATACATGCGGAGATCATCCGTTCACCCACACCTCATCTCACAAAAATAACATTCATTTCATACATTGATTACATTGAGACATGATCACATATGTCAATTTTTTTAATTTGTGGGAATACTTGGGAACATACTTCCTAATTTGTTTTGTTTCGTTTTGGGGCTGAATTCCTGGTGATTCCAACCCCCACTCAAAACTTTGGGGGGCCTGTCATGCCAAATAATGTCCCCCGGCCAAAAAGTGTCCCGCTCTATGTCACAATGGGATTCGATAAACTAAAAAGTGTCCTAATGATTACCTAATGATTGGAATTTTGGAGATCATTACAGCCTAAATGAAGTTCTTTTCATCATCGCTATGCAAACAAGGCTGATTTCCGTGACAATTTTGCTGTTTAAACAAGTTTTATTTAGCTAATAAAATGAAAACATTACTTTGAACTACTTTTGGGTACCTTGTTAACATTACAACATGAAATCCATGTCTTAACCGTTGCTACGTTTCGGAAATGGCAAATAAAACGTGTAATCTGCTTGACATATTAAAGTTACTTACCTTACAGATCACGAAGTCGGCTAATTTCCACCCCATTCATATGCAAATCCGTTTGATTCATACACTGGATTGTCTGGCTGTCATGTTTTTTTTTTAACCTGCCCTTACCTTATCTACACTGAAATAATATAATTTCAGTAGTCCTCTATCATATGATTCATTTTTTTCTATCTCGCATAGCTCATTAGTACACCCTTGTGGTTGAAAAAATATATATATTCAACCACAAGGGTGTACTAATGAGCTATGCGAGAGAGAAAAAAATGAATTATATATATATATATATATATAGGTGTGTCCAAACTTTTGACTGGTACTGTATATATATGTATATATATATATACAGTACCAGTCAAAAGTTTGGACACACCTGTTCGTTCAAGGGTTTTTCTTTATTTTGTAGAATAATAGTGAAGACATCAAAACTATGAAATAACACATATGGAATCATGTTGTAACCAAAAAAGTGTTAAACAAATCAAAATATATTTTATATTTGAGATTCTTCAAATGGACACCCTTTGCCTTGATGACAGCTTTGCACACTCGTGGCATTTTCTCAACCATTTTCACCTGAAATGCTTTTCCAACAGTCTTAAAGGAGTTCCCACATATGCTGAGCACTTGTTGGCTGCTTTTCCTTCACTCTGCGGTCCGACTCATCCCAAACCATCTCAATTGGGTTGAGGTCGGGGGATTGTGGAGGCCAGGTCATCTGATGCTGCACTCCATCACTCTCCTTCTTGGTCAAATAGCCCTTACACAGCCTGGAGGTGTGTTGGGTCATTGTCCTGTTGAAAACCAAATGACAGTCCCACTAAGCCCAACCAGATGGGATGGCGTATAGCTGCAGAATGCTGTGGTAGCCATACTGGTTAAGTGTGAATTCTAAATAAATCACAGACAGTGTCACCAGCAAAGCACCCCCACACCATCACACATCCTCCTCCATGCTATGGTGGGAAAAAACCATGCGGCGATCATCCGTTCACCCACACCGCGTCTCACAAAGACACGGCGGTTGGAACCAAAAATCTCAAAATTTGGACTCACTGGTCTAATGTCCAATGCTCGTGTTTCTTGGCCCAAGCAGGTCTCTCTTCTGATTGGTGTCCTTTAGTAGTGGTTTCTTTGCAGCAATTCGACCATGAAGGCCTGATTCACACAGTCTCCTCTGAACAGTTGATGTAGAGATGTGGATGTCACTTGAACTCTGCGAAAAATTCATTTGGGCTGCAATTCTGAGGATGGGTAACTCTAATGAACTATCCTCTGCAGCAGAGGTAACTCTGGGTCTTCCATTCCTATGGCGGGGTACTCATTAGAGCCAGTTTCATCATAGCGCTTGATGGTTTTTGCGACTGCACTTGAAGAAATGTTCAAAGTTCTTGACATTTTCCATATTGACTGACCTTCATGTCTTAAAGTAATGATGGATGGTCATTTCTCTTACTTATTTGAGCTGTTGTTGCCAATAATATGGACTTGGTCTTTTACCAAATAGGGCTATCTTCTGTCTTCCCCCCTTTTATTTTTATTTATTTCACCTTTATTTAACCAGGTAAGCCAGTTGAGAACAAGTTGAGGTAGTTGGGTGGGCTAATTTCAGAAAGGCTGTGTACAGGTGCAGTGATCGGTAAGCTGCTCTGACAACTGACGCTTAAAGTTAGTGAGGGAGATAAGAGTCTCCAGTTTCAGAGATTTTTGCAGTTCGTTCCAGTCATTGGCAGTAGAGAACTGGAAGGAATGGCGGCCAAAGGAGGTGTTGGCTTTGGGGATGACCAGTGAGATATACCTGCTGGAGCGCAGACTACGGGTGGGTGTTGCTATGGTGACCAGTGAGCTAAGATAAGACGGGGATTTGCCTAGCAGTGATTTATAGATGACCTGGAGCCAGTGAGTTTGGCGACGAATATGTAGTGAGGCCCAGCCAACAAGAGCGTACAGGTCACAATGGTGGGTAGTATATGGGGCTTTGGTGACAAAACGGATGGCACTGTGATAGACTACATCCAATTTGCTGAGTAGAGTTTTGGAGGCTATTTTGTAAATGACGAAGTCAAGGATCGGTAGGATAGTCCGTTTTACGAGGGCATGTTTGGCAGCATGAGTGAAGGAGGCTTTGTTGCGAAATAGGAAGCCGATTCTAGATCTAACTTTGGATTGGAGATGCTTAATGTGAGTCTGGAAGGAGAGTTTACAGTCTAACCAGATACCTAGGTATTTGTAGTTGTCCACATACTCTAGGTCAGACCCACCGAGAGTAGTGATTCTAGTTGGGTGGGCGGGTGCCAGCAGCGTTCGGTTGAAAAGCATGCATTTAGTTTTACTAGCGTTTAAGAGCAGTTGGAGGCCACGGAAGGAGTGTTGTATGGCGTTGAAGCTTGTTTGGAGGTTTGTTAACACAGTGTCCAAAGAAGGGCCAGATGTATACAAAATGGTGTCGTCCGCATAGAGGTGGATCCGAGCGTCACCAGCAGCAAGAGCGACATCATTGATATACACAGAGAATAGAGACGGCCCGAGAATTGAACCCTGTGGCACCCCCATAGAGACGGCCAGAGGTCCAGACAACAGGCCCTCCGATTTGACACATTGAACTCTATCTGAGAAGTAGTTGGTGAACCAGGCGAGGCAGTCATTAGAGAAACCAAGGCTATTTAGTCTGCCAATAAGAATGCGGTGGTTGACAGAGTCGAAAGCCTTGGCCAGGTCGATGAAGACGGCTGCGCAGTACTGTCTTTTATCGATCGCATTTATAATATCGTTTAGGACCTTGAGCGTGGCTGAGGTGCACCCATGACCAGCTCGGAAACCGGATTGCATAGCGGAGAAGGTACGGTGGGATTCGAAATGGTCGGTGATCTGTTTGTTAACTTGGCTTTCAAATACTTTCGAAAGGCAGGGCAGGATGGATATAGGTCTATAACAGTTTGGATCTAGAGAGTCATCCCCTTTGAAGAGGGGGATGACCGCGGCAGCTTTCCAATCTCTGGGGATCTCAGACGTTATGAAAGAGAGGTTGAACAGGCTAGTAATAGGGGTTGCGACAATTTCGGCAGCTAATTTTAGAAAGAAACGGTCCAGATTGTCTAGCCCAGCTGATTTGTAGGGGTCCAGATTTTTCAGCTCTTTCAGAACATCAGCTGTCTGAATTTGTGTGAAGGAGAAGTGGAGGGGGGGGGGGCATGGGCAAGTTGCAGCAGAGGGTGCAAAGCTGGTGGCCGGGGTAGTGGTAGCCAGGTGGAAAGCATGGCCAGCTGTAGCAAAATGCTTGTTGAAATTCTCGAATATTGTAGATTTATCGGTGGTGACAGTGTTTCCTAGCCTCAGTGCAGTGGGCAGTTGGGAGGAGGTGCTCTTATTTTCCATGGACTTTACAGTGTCCCAAAACGTTTTGGAGTTAGTGCTACAGGATGCAAATTTCTGTTTGAAAAAGCTAGCCTTTGCTTTCCTAACTGATTGTGTATATTGGTTCCTGACTTCCCTAAAAAGTTGCATATCGCGGGGGCTGTTCGATGCTAATGCAGAACGCCACAGGATGTTTTT